ATTTTGTGTTCACTAAAGTGAGAGCTTTTTGATTGCTTTACACTTTTCTCACCATAACCTGTATGGTTATACTGTCCTAAACAAAAGATTGAAAAGTCTTTAAATTGCCTAATTTTTCAGAAAATTGTATCTACACTATATATATATCCCCAAAGATTTTTATTTTCATCTATACTGTCGCAAGTCAACACCAACAGTTGTCAGTTCTGAATTACCAAGTCGAGATATGACCTAAATCAAACACGGGCATACCTGAGCACACTGAGCCTCTTGTGTCAGAGGCTTACAATAACTTTTAGTAAAAGTAAAGTGGAATAAATGGATCTACGAAAGACATGATGTCTGAGCTCTGGCAGTTATCATTTTGGCCTCAGTCTGACCTCTAGGTTTACGCATGTCCTTTACAGTGATAGCATTGCTGAGTGTGAGGGGCTATTTATTAAGAGAAGTTATACTTTCATTCCATCAACAGGACACGTATTCAGCGAGCAGGAGCCAGAGTCAATGGGTCACTATGAACCTATGAATGTAACCTTGTTGACACATAGTTTGTCCTTTGTGTGACTGTTATTCTTTAATATGTACCTCTGGGGGTTTGGCCCACTCTTGTACACAGCTTGTATGTTGTCCTACTCCTTAGATCAGCATCAAAAGAAATGTGTTTATTTGTATGCCCGTAGTGTATCATGAACAGTTCAGACATGCCCAGACATGCTGAAGCTTTTTTTGTGTGTTTTTTTTATTCTGGGGTACCAATTCATTTTCAAACCCCAAGATATTTGTAAGGGGGTGTTATGATTGAATGGATATCGGTGCTGAGTTACTCAAGACTTCTTCTTGTACAGGACAACTGCGCACCTGTTGTTAGAAACTTATTATAATGAATCCATGCTGTGATCACACGCGAGGCCGCTGGCAAACAAACTTTGATATGCCCAAACCTAAAGATTTACAATATCATGAAATGATGCAGCGCCAGTCAATATAAAAAAAGCATAAAAAAACCCACATGGATAAACAGCATTTAATCTGCCAAATATGCATTCTCTCTTAAATTACTGTCCATATATATTTAGATAAAAATATCTTTACCATCCATCAGATCCTTGTAGTGTAACAAAAACACAAAGTGCCACTATCTTATCAAATATACACTTGTCAAACCATAAGATGTAACGGGTACAGCAAATGCAGCATGTTTCTTAGGCACAAATCCTACCCAGGTGTAGTGGCATCCCAAGGCAGGTGCAGGGGGTGCGACCCGCACCGGATGACACCTACCGCACGGGGTGACACCGGACACACTCCACGAAAAGGTAAGTTGTAAAGCAAGCCGAAGATCCCCGCAGGATGGATCAGATCTGGGGATTGAGCATAATGGATCGGAGTCCAATCCATTATGCTCCCCAATTCGCAGATCCGATCAATCCTGCGGGGATGTCGGCTTGCTTTACAACTTACCTTTTCGTGGAGTGTGTCCGGTGTCACCCCGTAGAGGTTGCATGCCGACGATCCCCGCAGGATGGATCGGATCTGCGGATTGGGGAGGATAATGGATCGGACTCTGATCCATTATGCTCAATCCGCAGATTATTATTATTATAGGGTTTTTTATATAGCGCCAACAGTTCACTCAGCGCTGTACATTACAATGGGAGACAATACACGAGACAGTACAGTAACAATACAATACACGAGGGGTTCGAGGGCTCTGCTCCTTGGAGCTTACAATCTAGGAGGGATGGGATAGTGGTACAGAAGGAAATAGCTGTGGGGGATGGAGTGGTAGGAAGAGTGGAGGAGATTGGGGCAATTAGCAGGGGGTGGGCTAGGCTTCCCTGAAGAGATGGGTCTTCAGGGTGCGTCTAAAGGAGAGGAGGGTGATAGTCTGATGGATTGGGGCAGGGAGTTCCAGAGGATGGGGGAAGCCCTGGAGAAGTCTTGGAGACAGGCATAGGAGGAGGAGCCTAGGGAACTAGAGAGTAGGAGGTCTTGTGAGGAGCGAAGAGTGCGTTTAGGGTGGTATTTGGATATCAGGTCAGTGATGTAGTTTGGGGCAGTGTTATGAACAACATAGGCTATAACCACATCTTGGATATCCTGGAATGTGCACGCCTTGCAGCCCTCAAAGGACCAGGGAAGTCCAAATGCACTGGATATAAAGAAAGCAAACAAAGGGCGCACCGGCCTAGTGCATTACCTTAACCACTTCCCCCTCCTTCCAGTCCGGACACTCTCATCTCCCCCCTTCCTGTCCGGACACTTTCACCCCCTTCCTGTCCGGACACTTTCACCCCCTTCCAGTCCGGACACTTTCACCCCCTTCCAGTCTGGACACTCTCACCCCCTTCCAGTCCGGACACTCTCACCCCCTTCCTATCCGGACACTTTCCCCCCTTCCAGTCCGGACACTCTCACCCCCTTCCTGATCCATTCTGCAGGGGTTGTCGGAAGGGGTGTCACCAAGTGTTATCGCACCGGGTGACACCAACCCTAGGGATGCCCCTGCCCAGGTGTATGTACTTCCGCTCTAGAATCACTTTCTGTTAGGCAGCAGCCAAAGGCAACTCCCACTAGAACAGAGTGAAGCTCACCAAGGAGCTAACAGAAAGCCAGTGATAGTGTAGACATTTAAATCAAGGTTTATTGTAGAAGAGAGCCAACCATCCAGTTAAAACAATGTGATAGTCAAAAAACACAATAAAAACACACCGCTAATAACCCACAATCATGCAGTGGCAAGACGTCAGCACTGAGATTCAGCCCGACTCGTTTCGTCCAAACGGACATTCTCAAGTCCGCAGCACTCTCATCTTCCATCACCAAGTAGGATCAATACCCTCTCATTAGTATACCAGTCTCTTCCGAATGTCCCTTCAATAGCTCTGCCTAGCTGGGCACAGTCCCAGACAGCACATTCATTGCAATACTCACATCAAAGGACTCTGGCCTGGCTTCCAAGACTTTATGCACCTAACTTCAGAACCTGCAGAACAAAGTCAGGAGAGACAGAGCAAATACAAGTGTTCCTACTGTGTGCTATACCACCTCAACTGGGACTTCAACCCTGCAAAGGACCTTTTAGATCAGCTTTGTAGAGGACTACATCTTAGCAGCCCTGGGGGGTGTTTGACTCCCATTCTCCATCTGCTATAGGCTCCTCCCACCCAGGCTAATATATGGGCACTAACTACACCCATGACATCACTAAGGAAGATAAATATTGAATACAAGATCAGCGAGCGCTCAAGACTCTGATGAGGTCAGCAGCAAATGCACTAAAAAGGAACCCAAAACCTTATATAAAACATACACAAAAATTGGTGCAGCGCTGAAAAAATTAATATATAAAAGTGCACTATTCAAGATATTATTAATATGAAAATAAAAATATTAAATACATGTGATAACACAGGAGTGAATAAAGCGCTACAATGAGCGCAATTAAATAAGTGCGGCTGTGACGTCACGGTGCCGGAGCCTCACGAAGGTCCGGCGGCCATCTTAGAGACTGGCTGGTCAGTTTCACTATTTTTAAACTGTGTTTTTTTGCTGCTATTTCCACGTGGATGATGTACTACTTTTATACCTAAATAAATCTGATAAATTACTACACTATGAGCACCTTCTTTTTTGGCTCTGAATTGAGCTAAACGATTTCCAGGACTCCAGCTGGAGAACAGTTGCAGAGCAGTCTCAGATCCAGAGGGGGGAGTCTCTTTCCATGCTGTCTGTCTGGTCCACTTAAAGGGGCTTCCTGCAGATCCTTGGTCATTATATGATTCAACACATTGCACTTTTACTATGAGCATCTGGTGAGTGCACATTTTTATCAATTTCCTGCACGGATTAAAGTCACATGGAATATTTTGATACCACCTGTGCAACAGGATTTGTATGCAGCACAATTTTCTGACCGCTGTTTGTCAGACCATCACCATCATATGAACATTTTCTTTGTTTTATGACTTTCACAGCCACACTTGTTTAAAGCGGAGTTCCACTCACCCTGAAAAAAAAAATAAAAGTCAGCAGCTACAAAAACTGTAGCTGATGACTTTTAAAAACAGCCACTTACCTGTCCCTCGGTCCCATGGTGTGTCCCCCGCAGCCCGTTTCACCGGCCGTCCTGTATTCCAGGAGGCTGGCATCTTCAGTGTGGGCACCCGGCTGTGATAGCTTGTTGCTTCACAGCCGGGTACCCACTGCGCATGTGCGAGTAACGCTGCGCTTCGTGAATGGTCCTGTAGTCTTCTGGGACCTGTCACGTGTCCCAAAAGACTACAGGGAGGGAGGACACCTTCCGTTTCTGATCACCTAGGCCCAAAAGTGGGAGCGGGTACCTGTCAAATTCGGATACCAGCTCCCACCCCCCCCCCGCCCCCCCCAAAGGTGCCAAACCTTAATGGGGAGCGGGGGAGCAGTCCTTAAAGCGGAACTTCCTCTTTTGAGTGGAGTTCCACTTTAATTGCACTCATTGTAGCGCTTCATTCACTCCTGTGTTATTACTTATATTAAATATTTTTATTTTCATATTAATAATATCTTGAATAGTGCACTTTTATATATCACTAAGGAAGAACTTTTCTAAAAGGGGACCTAACACCCAATTATAACTTTCTCTTTACCATACTATAATGGGACCAGAGCCACCTAGTGGCAGTCAAGCTAACTTCATCTGCCAACCTGTTCTTCTCAACAGAACCTTATCAACTGTGTGTATTATTTACTAAAAGTTGGCCCCAGATATGAGCTGGGAGAGCCCTATTCTTTTGGTTGAGGACTTAGAACTTTACAGATTTTATTTACTTAGTTATTTTACGGTGACCTGCACAGGTGAACCAATACTTCATTAGGACTAAAAACTGGCCAGTTTTATTATAGATTACACCAGGGCTTCAAATTTCCACTCGCCTGCTCGCCAATGGGGAGTGGAAATTACGGTGGGGGGCGAGTGTGTCACCCAGGGCCGTCTTCCTGAGCAGGCTCGCAGCTCAGGCCGGATCTGTCATTGGCACTGGGAGCCATCAGACTGCTCAATAGCTGAGCGCAGTGAAAGCAAAGCAAAGAGTGTGTGCTGTGCTCTCTGCCTCCCCCTAGAGTGCAGTACCTGGATCTGTGAGTGAACAACAAAGTACTGCAACTTTTTATGCGGTGTGTGTGTATGCATGTACAATTGTACATGTGTCTGTGTGTACATGTGTCTGTGTATGTATGTACATGTGTCTGTGTGTATGTACATGTGTCTGTGCATGTGTATTTCTGCGTATGTACATGTATCTGTGTGTATGAGTGTCTGTACGTGCCTGTGTGTGTATACATGTGTCTGTATGTGTGTGTGTGTGTACATGTGTCTCTGTGCGTGTGTGTATGTTTCTGTGTGTGTATATGTACATGTCTGTGTGTGTGTACAGGTGTCTCTGTTTGTGCGTGTTTGTTGGTGGCGAGTAACTCTAAGGCCTGGCTAATTGCTCAGGACTTGAAATTTTATGTCCTAGATTACACATTTAAAAGAGTAAAAAACTGAAAAGCCTGCTTTGTGTCTGAACTTAAAAAGATTTCCTATGTTAGAGGAAACATCTAGAAATATAAATTGTACCGAAGTGTAGTACTACCCCCGCATGGGCCACTTGATAACACTTGTCCCCAGTAGTTTTCCTGACCTTGCAAGCCTCCCGACTCCTCTGACACTCAGACATATTTCAACAGAATATAATAATGCAAGAGACACAGCTCTTTAGTACCTTTTTAACACCTTTTTATTAAACTTGTTCAAAAGTGTAGGCCACATAAATAATGGGTTAAGGATATACAACTCCAGTTAACACATAAAAGCAGAACAGTAAACAGGAGTAAAATAGAAATAATCAATTAGCAACATTTAACAGACTATACAGTCATGAGTATTAAGTTTCAACCATTTGATTGCAACACCAGCAGCAAGAGGGGGAAGAAAAGGTTTGTTGCTTATCAGCTCCTTCCGGACCAATGACGCTGCAATGGGGAATGCAGATATTTAAGTAAACATATACTCCACTAGGAATAGATATTAGTACCCCAATTTGAATAGCAATGGCCTTAAAAGAGAAGAGGCCCCTTTAACTAGAGATTGCAACTTGAGTCCTGTGATGTTTAAAGTTTCTGATATGGTGGTATCCGTTGTCTTCTGCTAGCAATGGTGGGGGCCCATAAACATTAGTGAATACTGAAAATTCAATGGAATTAAACAGATAGACTGTGGTACTGCTCAGGTTCAGGTTCTTAACTGGTTGCAGGGATGTGGAGAACTAACGCTTGATGGCCTGTCAGCGTGGCAAGCAGAGATGTATGTGTGAAGACTGGACAATGACAGTCCCGATACAGAGACACTGGTGCAATCCTGGTAAGTGCAGAGTCCCACAGCAGTAAGCCAGAAATCTGTCTCTGGAGGAGAACGGCAGTCCCCCTGTGTTCAGTTCTGAATCCCATGCCTAAAAGAGAGAGTCAATCCCTTGCTGTAGGATATATCTGCTTTCCCAGTATCTTCCTCATTCACCAGCTCTCTGGTAGTTATAGTTCAATCAGCACTCAGGAAGACAGGATGTATTGGGACTACTGGTCCCAAGATCCTCTGCTATCAGAAAAACTGAATGCACTGTGCTAACTGGAAGTGATGTAGCAGTCCCAGTACTGGCACTAGGGGGAAAGGATTAACCATAGCCTCATCTGTAAATGTTTTCTGAATGACTTATTGATATAGTTGTCACCTGGCTACATAAGCAATACCCCCAAAAAGTCAACTTCCAGAATTCCTTGCAAAAATTAGCAGTACACTTCCGTGGCCTAGGCACTCTTGCTTTGTAACCTTATAGCTGTAAACCTTTGAGTTTGATATGGTTATCTGAGCATGCATACTGGCAAGCTAGGACAGGGGAAGGAAGAGCAGCGTGTGACCCCTCCCCTCCCGCAGAACAATACCAGGTTTCATAGTAGGAAATTACAAATTTTGGGAGAGTTCTGTATACCAAGGGTGTACAGATCCCCCATATTTAAGCAATCCATGTATGAATTGTTTTTGCATGTCTTAGATAATCATAGAAGTCTGCAAACTAAACTAGAAAGGTCCCTTTTGTTGATACTAAATTACAAAAAGACTTGTGTAGCCCTACCCCCACAGGAGCTGCTTGGTAGATTGGGTTCTCTGTTCTTCCGCCTCAACACTGAGAACAGCCTCAACCCCACTGACACATCAGGTTAAGCAAATGGATACTGCACTGCTACTGGAAGCACAATTATAGTTATCCTGCACACAACTAAGGTTCAGTATCAAAAAGCAAGCAAGCATCAGTCTGGTTAGTGGTAAATGAAGCCAATATATTGTTTTGTGTTGCAGTAAATAGCGGCATGCACATAAAGGAGCAAGTAAAGGATTAGATAAAAAAGAATCAGCAAAGAGTAATGGCATTATGATGATCAATACTGTGATAATTCCACTGTAAACAGTAGGCTATGTCCACTTTAGAGTGCACAGTGAAGACATTTAAGACTCCCTAAATAGTTACCTCATACTATGGACAATAGAAAAATTCTTGTGAAGTAGTTATCTGAGTAAACAGTCTTTAGCCCTGGTTCTTTAGCCGGCAAGCGTTGGGGCCCAGTCTTAACTGTAGTGCACGTGTACAGTCCCAGTAAAGTATGCACGCTGTAAATAATGCTGCTAGTTAGATAGCCAGTCCCTATGCGCTCAGTCTCTGCTAGTAGCAACAGGTCAATGGCAACAGTGTCCTCTCACTAGTCCCAACAATACAGCAACAGGAGCCCCGTTGTTCAGATGTCAGCTCACTTCTTGATCTGCCTGGAATGATTGCGGTCCTCAGCACATGGTCACAGGCTTGCAGCAAGTTATTCAGTATTCAGGCTGTGTAAATACAGCTCTCTCTCTTTATACCAGCTCGCGTTGGGAATTGTTCTATAGTCTATTGACTCCCATAACATGAACCTTCCCCTGCACTGCATCTCCCATTATTCAGTGCTGCCAACCATCAAGTTTCTGGAGCTTATTCAGCTTGTCAGCTCCCCCTGGTGGATGGAGCATAGGTAGTGTTAACCCTTTAAGCTGCAATCCATTTGGAACACAAAGCACTGCAGCACAGAGTCTTACATCACTCTCTGTTTCTAGCCAAGCTCCTGGCTACACTTGCGTAGCAATTACATGTATTACATTTCCAGGGCCAGTGCTAAACTATTTTGCACCCTAGGCAAGACCAGCTACTTGCCCCCCCCCCCTCGAAAAAATAATAAAATAAAACTGTACACACTGCCTCCCTTCCTGTTCATACTGCCTCCCCCCCTTTAACCCTACACTCTTCTTTTCCTATATACACTGCCCCCCGTCCTGCACACACTGCCCCCCTATTTCCCCTGAAAACACTACCCCCTTTAATGCTACACCCCCTTCCAACACACATTGCCCCCCTTTAATGCTACACCCCCCTTCCTGCACACACTGTGCCCTTTAACCCTACACTCCCCTTCCTGCACACACTGCCCCCTTCCTGCACACACTGCCTCCCTTCCTGCACACACTGCCCCCCTTCCTGCACACACTGCCCCCCTTCCTGCACACACTGCCTCCCTTCCTGCACACACTGCCCCCCATCCTGCACACACTGCCCCCCTTCCTGCACACACTGCCTCCCTTCCTGCACACACTGCCCCCTTCCTGCACACACTGCCTCCCTTCCTGCACACATTGCCCCCCTTCCTGCACACACTGCCCCCCTTCCTGCACACACTGCCTCCCTTCCTGCACACGCTGCCTCAATTCCTGCACACACTGCCCCCCTTCTTGCACACACTGCCCCCCTTCCTGCACACACTGCCCCCCTTCCTGCACACACTGCCTCCCTTCCTGCACACACTGCCCCCCTTCCTGCACACACTGCCTCCCTTCCTGCACACACTGCCCCCCATCCTGCACACACTGCCTCCCTTCCTGCACACATTGCCCCCCTTCCTGCACACACTGCCCCCCTTTCTGCACACACTGCCTCCCTTCCTGCACACGCTGCCTCAATTCCTGCACACACTGCCCCCCTTCTTGCACACACTGCCCCCCTTCCTGCACACACTGCCACACCCTTCCTGCACACACTGTCCCCCTTCCTATACACACTGCCTCCCTTCCTGCACACACTGCCCCCCTTCCTGCACACACACTGCACTCCCTTCCTGCACACACTGTCCCCCTTCCTACACACACTGCCCCCCTTCCTGCACACACTGCTCCCCTTCCTGCACACACTACCTCCCTTCCTGCACACACTGTCCCCCTTCCTGCACACCTGCCTCCCTTCCTGCACACACTGTGCCCTTTAACCCTACACTCCCCTTCCTGCACACACTGCCTCCCTTCCTGCACACACTGCCCCCCTTCCTGCACACACTGTCCCCCTTCCTACACACACTGCCTCCCTTCCTGCACACACTGCCCCCCTTCCTGCACACACTGTCCCCCTTCCTGCACACACTGCCCCCCTTCCTGCATACACTGTCCCCCTTCCTGCACACACTGCCCCCTTCCTGCACACACTGTGCCCTGTAACCCTACACCTCCATTCCTAAACCTCCTTTCCTGTACACACTGCCCCCTTTAACCCTACACCCCCCTCCTGTATACATTGCCCCCTTTCCGCACACACTGCCCCCCGTTCCAGTACACTCTACCCCAGGGGCGGACTGACAACTCATGGGGCCCCCGGGCAATAGGGGATCATGGGTCCCCTGTGTCCTAACCCACACTCAAACAACACCCAAAAAAAGCCTATGAAAAGGTACTAGGGGCATCTCATGGGGCCCCCCTAATGACCCTGGGCCCTCTAGCAGAGCCCGAGTACCCGAATAGTCAGTCCGCCCCTGCTCTACCCTGTATAGACTATACCCCCCAGTGATGTGTGTTGCCCCCTCAATGAACTGATCTGAGCTGCCTTGCCAGACTCAGCAAACAGTTCATGGCTGGAGTACCTGGTCTGTCCATCTCCGCTCAGTCCTGCAGCCTGGCTCAATACTTCCATGGTTCCAGCTGAGCCGAGTTTGTCCACCTGATCCCGCAACCTCCAGTTCTCACACTGCAGATCAGTAACAGACTGGGAGAGGGGCCCCATCAGGTGCAGCATGTCTTCCAACTGCCTCTCCACCCTGCACCTGAACCCCTCCATCTCTGCTTGCAGCCCCTGCTTGGTCCTCCATAGTAGACATTCCCTCTCCTACTCAGGTACATTTCTGCAGACCAGCCACAACTACACCTCCACCCCGGGCTCCATGCTAGCGGGCGATGACAGGCAGCGATAGGGGCTTTGGGCTGACTTCACTGAACGGCGATCACCATCATCCAGCAAATGATCTTGTCTGCTGCTGGGATCTCAGCTCTCAAGTGCACCAGTGGGTGTGGGGGAAAGGCGGCTCTAGA